TTGGAGCCTCAGCTTCTGGATCTGTCCTTCCAGTGAGCACTCAGGGTTGATTTCCTTCAGAATTGATAGGTTTGTTCTCCTTGCAGTCCAGCGGACTCTCAAGAGTCTCCTCCAGCACCACAATTCAAAAGCATCAATTCTTCGGCGGTCTGCTTTCTTTATGGTCCAGCTCTCACTTCCATACATTGCTACTGGAAAAACCATACCTTTGACTATACGGACCTTTGTCGGCAAGATGATGTCTCTGCTTTTTAAGATGTTGTCTAGGTTTGTCATCACTTTCCTCTCAAGAAGCAGGAGTCTTTTAATTTCATGGCTGCTGTCACCATCTGCAGTGATCATTGAGCCCAAGAAAGTAAAATCTGTCACTGCCTCCATATCTTCCCCTTCCATTTGCCAGGAGGTGATGGGTCCAGTGGCCATTATCTTAGTATTTTTGATGTTGAGCTTCGGACCATTTTTGCACTCTCTTCTTTCACCCTCATTAGGAGGTTCTTTAATTCCTCCTCACTTTCCGCCATCAGAGTGGTATCATCTGCATATTTGAGGTTGTTGATATTTCTTCCAGCAAACTTAATTCCGGCTTGGGATATGTGGATTACAAAACATTAAAAACACACCAAATCAAAGTCCTAAAGCAAAAAATGAAAGAACATTACTCTTTTCCTCTCCATTTAATAATCCTTGTGAAGTCCAGGTAGTTCCTTGCGCCACTCAGCACGATGTACTCGCCATCATCACTTCCATTCATCTAGAAACAAAACCAGGAGAGGAGAAAGCTTTACTTATGCTTTTCCTAACTATTTTCTACATGACAAACCACAACAGAAATCTTAGATGGTGCTTTCATTGCAGCTGTAACCAGAGATTCATATACAGAGGCTGTGATCTAATTTACTTCTGCAAGACGAGATGGGTGGAGTGAAAGTTCAGTTTCTCACATCCCCAAAGCAGACACACAAAGCTGAGTTTCTCACATCCCCCAAACACGCAGGCACAAGTATTAGCCTTGAGAGGCAAGGGAAATGGGGACACCCAGCCACGATCCTTGGAAGAAGGAAGCTCACCTTTTTATAATAGCCAAATTCTGAGTCGATATCAGGACGGAATTTGTGCAAAGCGTTGAGAAGTCTGTCTGTGTAGCCCCACAAGAGCTCATGTACCGAGTGTGTTGTGAACATATCTTCATTGTACAAGAAGAGCAGAATCTCTGCAGGAAAATGTAGTGGGGTTTCTGAAGCCAGGTCCATGGCGTACTAATAGGAAGGGAGAGAAAAATACATCAACCTGTGTCTGAATTCACACGGAAGCACAGTGTTGCTCAGTGAGGCATAAACCATACAACCCAATTGCTTCCTGCAGAGACAGCCACCAGAAAAATATACTAGCCTAACTGTGCAATGGCTTTCTCAAAGCAAGAATAGAAATGTTTCATCACACCAAAATCTGCCCATTACATTACAGTTTCCAGTATCAAGCAACCAGACATTTCTAGACGCTCATAAGCACTTCTATCTGAGTGATCAGCCTTCACCATTAGGTAGAATGCTCCTTCGACCATGGAAGATTCAATAATTATGGGGGGAAAGTTCAAACAGCCATCCTATTAGCTTTTGCCCACCATACGGAGTGATCAGAATAGATTAAACCAGTGGTTCCCACTCTTGGGTAACACCAGGTGTTCTTGAACTGCAAATCCCAGAAGCCTTCACCACCAGCTGTGCTCGCCAGGGTTTCTGGGAGTTGAAGTCCAAGAATGGCTGAGTTACCCCAAACCGGGAACCACTGGCTCAAGCCAATTGGACTTACAACATTATTTGAGTGGAGTCGGTGCAGTTCACCATGCTGGCGTCTCAGTGTAATATTGAAGTCTGATCTCAGAGATCTGGCAAACTAAAATGGCTGCAGTTGAATTGGACATCGAATCCAATACAAGTAATCTAAGCTGCTTTTATTATATTACTGTATTTTTCTGTGTATAAGACTATACTTTTGTCTAAAAGCTTTAGACTAAAAATTGAGGGTCGTCTTATACACGGAAGCAAGCTGAGGAGAGAACAAAAACAAGTGGAGGGGAAAGCAGGGATCAAAGTGATCCTGCAGCGCTTTGATCCCTTTTCCCCCACCCTTGCTAAGCCCCACTTAGATTTCTTAATTTTGGATTAGAAAAGTGGGGGTCGTCTTATACATGGGGGCATCTTATACACGGAAAATATGGTATATTATATTAGGAAACTTGTTGTAAGTCACTTGCTGAGGTCTTATACATGGAAAATATGGTATATTATATTAGGAAATTTGTTGTAAGTCACTTGCTGAGTTTGGAAATGTGCTGCTTTGTACTTAAAAGTTTTCTCACTAAAACATTGACCCGGGCAGGTGCCTCCCCATGCCACCCACTAACTTTGGCCCAGAAGAAATCACAATGGTGGACAGTGAAATGAGAGGTAGTGATGTCATCACTAATTGCGTTGTGTACACGTCTTCAACTAACCCTTCCAAATCAGGGCTGGTCATGGCATTCCCTGGCCATCTGAAGACCAGAAATATCAGCTGCTGGTGAAATTCAATACTAACCACAGCAGGGACATTCACAGTCCTGATCAGATCAACCTCTGGGTCCCCCACCGACATCTCCCGTTCAAAGAAGTAAGTCTTTGGGTTAAGAGAGGACACTTCTGTATCATTGTCTAGAATGTGGACATCAACTCGGGGTCTGTATTCCCTACAAAAAGAAAAGAGATAAAGTTAGTTTTTTAAAAGTAGCTTCAGAACCAGGTCGCTCCCTGTCGGTCCTTAAAGAAAGGGCCAGCAACCAGAAGAATCGAGCCTATACAGGTCTGCTGGATAGTTGTAAGGTCCAAAGAATTTTTGGAATGTCTATGTAATCATTTTTCTCTCTGTAAACGTCTGAAATGAAGATGCAACGGCACCAACCTCAGAACTATCCAGCCAGAGAAACCCTTTCCCTCTATTTATCATTTTTATTTGAGAAAGAAAATCACTGGCACAAATATCTTTCCAACATTAAATCTTTTTGGTACAAGTACAAAAAACAAGAGGTCAACTCAAACTTCTCCTCATGCCCGCTTATTGTATTCTTTGAACAACTTTTCATTTTTCACACCAAATACAGTGCTTCTCAGTAATCAACAAGGTTTTAAGAAGTTAGCACAAAACTGTACTTGCAATGTTTGGTCTAGACTATCTTTTAGCTGCAAACATGTGGTTCCTTTGCAGATCAATATATGGTAATTCTTCTAAAGGAAGCAGTCTGTACTTGAGTCTAGAACCCCTGTGCTTAAGGAAATGTAAGTCCAATACATTTTAGCAAAAGTGCAAGTCCTCAGCTAGAAAGATGTCCTGCATGATTTTAGTGACATTTTCAATAATTCAGTTGTGATAGGTGTGAACCTGAAGGTAAATACAGAAATGTGTTAGCTTTGCCTATGTTTTCTGCACAGAAGGCTCCTGGCTAGTACTAAGGCACAAATAGGACTTGTTGGTAAAGCTAGGCCTAGCTAAGCCTTAAGGACTTCCTGTCTAGGCCATTTCTCCCAGGTGAGCCACATTTAGGGGGGGGTCTATAAAGCAGATAAAACTCACAGAATAGAGAACTACGGCATTTGCAGCTTCATCCCTAATGTCATCCTTTTTAAAATTATAAATTTCCAACTTATAAAGCTGGCTAGGCCTAGCTAAGCCTCAAAGACTTCCTGTCTAGGCCATTTATCCCAGGTGAGCCACATTTGGGGGGGGGGATCTATAAAGCAGTTAAAACTCACAGAATGAAGAACTACGGCATTTGCAGCTCCATCCCTAATGTCATCCTTCTTAAAACTGTAAATTTCCAACTTATAAAGCTTGAAGTATAAAAACAATGTTGATGAAATGCTAGCAGCTAAGCTAGGGGCATACAGCTGGCAGGCTTTTAATACTGCATCAGTCTTTCTAATGCCCCAGTCCCCTATCCTGAGGAGTGACAGAAGAAACAGACAAACCCAAGAAAATAATTAGGCAAGAAGGCTCTTCCTTTATTTTTTTCCACAAGCCGGTCCCCCTTCTACCTGAAGCTGTTCTTTCTTCCTTTAGTTTATTTTCATTTTATTTTATCTCCTGATGTTTTGCGGTGTGCTTTATTGTTATTTGTTTTGCATTTCTTACATTTTATTCGGTAACTGTTGTGTACTTTTGTTTATCCTGTCATGGTTATTGTTTACCTTGTTGTAAACCGTCCAGAGTGGCTTTGGCTGCCAGATGGGCGGTATAAAAATCAAGTGAGTGAGTGAGTGAGTGAGTGAGTGAGTGAGTAAGAAGCCCAGGTGGTTTCAGTGTAGTGATCCCTAGCCTTCACATCAGCAAGCCACAGAGCATGCAGAATGTATGCCTACAACGCATTAACATTTGGGCTTTGTCTGACAGAATACTGTCCACAGCCATGTTTCAGAACTACATAAAAAACAGAGTTGCTGAACTAATATTCCCCAGGTGGGGGGTTGTTGTGCGAGTTTGAAAGAGAGGCATAGTCCTGACTAGAGACATGAATAGTCTAGAGCAGAGGTCCCCAACCCCCGGGCTGAGCCAGACCAGGCTGCAGAGACAAACCTCCCGCCCTGCCCCTGCACGTACTCACTCCTGCACAGCTGATTCGCACATGCGTGCTCTCCAGCATGCCCATGTGAGCGCCACATGGCTGTTTGTGCATGCACACGAGCACAAGGGCACCCAGACAAGTGCCTTGCTGCTATTTGTGCTATTTGTCTCATTTGTGCAAGAGAGAACATGTGCTTGTTCGCGCATGCACATGAGCGCGAGGGGTGCCCCGCCTTCCTCAGCCAGTCCGCAGGGTGAAAAAGGTTGGGGACCCCTGGTCTAGAGGCATATTCCTGACTACGAAGATGAATCCCACCGGCACAGGGGGCTGGCCCGAAGAACCCCTGTCCACTGGGCCACTTCCTGAGCAGCACATGGGGCCAGCGGCATTGTCAGTGCGCCAATCGCAGCAGAAGCCCACCTGCCACGGCCCCGCCTCCCTGCTCACCTGGCCACTCCTGCAAAGGGGTGGGATGATGAGTCTCCCCACTCCGGCCGTGGAGTGCCTGGATGAGCAGGGAGGCGGAGCTTTGGCCGGTGGGCTACTGACTGGCATGCTGACGATGGCGCCAGCCACACATGTCGCGTACTGCACAGTAAGTGGACTGGAAGATTCTGGGGTGGGAGGTAATTGGACCAGCCACCTGTGTTCACAGGATGTGTCTTCATAGACAAAGACGAATCCTCCATCTCCAGTTCTGATCACAGTCAATTAAATCATTATTCAGGTTAGAAATGACACCACATAAAATGCAACTTAAGCCTGTCTCAACAAGTCCCAACGATGTGCACAAAACCAGGACATATTTCACCCGGTTTTGAAACATACAGCTCTAAGACTGCCGCACTGACAAAAGACTTCAAGTTCACCTAGGATTTTGCAATCGCAGCCAAATTTCACATTAATATGCTTGACTCATCTCATTCGCAACATCCCATTTGGTTTTCTGCCTCCTAAGAAATTCTAACTATCTCATACGGTGTATGAAGTTGTTTTATGCCAATTCAGACTCCAATCCATTTTGCTGAGCACTGCCTACTCTGACTACCTGCGGCACACAAAGTTCCCTATAACAAATCAACAGATGCCCCAACTAAGGTATTCTGGGAGTTGCAGTCCAAAAAAAGAGTAACTTTTCCAAGCTCTTGGCATGCACCACCCCTCGTCACTGGGAATCTAGCACAGAACAATCACAGTCCATGGAGGTGTCAGCAATTTCTTACACGCTCTTGAGTTGAGGTGGATCATGGACTGCGCCCTCCCCCCACATATTCCATAAGATGCTTTGCACCACTAAGGTATTCTGGGAGTTGCAGTCCAAAAAAAGAGTAACTTTTCCAAGCTCTTGGCATGCACCACCCCTCGTCACTGGGAATCTAGCACAGAACAATCACAGTCCATGGAGGTGTCAGCAATTTCTTACACGCTCTTGAGTTGAGGTGGATCATGGACTGCGCCCTCCCCCCACATATTCCATAAGATGCTTTGCACCATCAGTGATTCTTGATACTATTTTTGCACTCATGAGGGCTAGCGTCTTGCCAATGATGAAATCCAATGTTACACTCACCAGCTCCTCTCTTTCTCTGAGTAAAAATATATTAGCGATGCTTACATACACAATAACTTCTTTTGAAAATCCCATCACCCATCTCCCCAAATCTTGTTTTGTACTGTGCAGATGGTGAAACACAACAATATTACCTGTATGTGTATGGTCCAATTTCCTTCACTAAAGGCGATTCACCATTAAGAACTTCGAAAGGATTGGTCAAGTTAAAAAAATAAAACTGCATATAGACCGGTGGGGAAGGTTCCTCCCACATCTGAAAAACCTCTGTACCGTTCCTTAACACCATTTCCTTAAAAAAAAAGTCAAATAATTAGTTGCACTTTCAAAATCAGCATAGATAATAACACTGTACATATAGATGAATATAAGCCTAGATTTATTAAGTCATTGCCAAAGTTAACACTTTGTTGTTATCTATTGCCACTGTTATTTTCTTCATAACTATCAAGCCCATCTCTCATCACAAGGCTTAAAGATAAAAACGATCAATATTCCCCACATCAACACATGTTATTCCTCTGCTATCTTCTTTCACTTTTATATTTACTTGCATATTATATTTCCCCCTCTTGCATTTTTAACCGAATCTCCAGTCTTCAAACCCCCACCCCTTCTCTCTCCCCCTTCATCTTTGCTCAGGTCTGGTATCTGTTTTCTGTCTCCTGGCGGAATGTTTACAACAGTACCCAAAAGCAACATAGGCCGCAAATTACTGCATGCTGATGTACCATACACCCAAGAGCCAATGAATATTTAGAATGTTCTACTTGTGAAACTGATGTGTCACTCAACATTTCATTCAGTTTCCGTATGTCTGACAAAGCAGACATGTCCACAAAAGCTCACATTAAGATATAATAGTTAGTCTTTAAGGTGCCGCAACATTTTTGCCTTTTTTGTTTTCTTTCTTTGGATTTTTTCTGATATGCTTGCACAGACTCACACGACTCTTCCAAAACTGTAGATAGAAGAGGAGCTAATCTGCACATCCACAGCATCCTTATCCTTAACTAAACCATTACAGAAATTGGAGGAAACATTATGAAATACTTATTTTACATTACCTCTACATGGAAAAATAGCAATTAGAAAACAAGAAGGAGAAGAGCCTTCTACAAGAAAGGAGCAAAAGTTTGAGGATGGTGAGGACTAGCTATTTTAGTTAGTAGGTATTTCAAGTAGGCAGACATAAAGGACGAATGAGTTAGGTTTTTTGGTTCAGTTGTTGTTATTTAGTTGTTAAGCCGTGTCCGACTCTTCATGACCCCATGGACCAAAGCACACCAGGCCCTCATGTCTTCCACTGCCTCCCGGAGTTGGGTCAAAGTCAGGTTGGTCCCTTTGATAACACTGTCCATCCATCTCATCCTCTGTCTTCCCCTTCTCCTCTCGCCTTCACACTTTCCCAACATCAGGGTCTTTTCCGGGGAGTCTTCTCTTCTCATGAGATGGCCAAAGTATTGAAGCCTCAGCTTCAGGATCTGTCCTTCCAGTGAGGACTCAGGGTTGATTTCCTTCAGAATGGATAGGTTTGTTCTCCTTGCAGGCCAGGGGACTCGGTTGACCTGCTGGCTTCTGCAGGATGCATGTGATTGCAAGTGTTGGGCACCCATCCAATACAGATGCAGATGACTAGAACCCGTGAACTAGAACAGTAGAACTGAATTTGGAATGAGGCTCCAAAGCCTGCTTAGCCACTAATCTATTAACCCTTACAACATGTCTTCCGGAGCTATGGGATCTTGCATCTTGCCCCAATCATAGTCTCCGTTGGTTGGCTCGTGATAAACCTTACATGCTCTGCCTTCCTTCCAAAGTAAGTTATGATGGGCAGGATTCCTACCACTGGATACACGCCTGCTAAGGAAGTAACAGGATAAAACCACAAATGAAATGGGGCCTCTCGATAACAGTATTTTAATTAAATTTCAAATTTTACATACTTGTCAGAACAATGCACTGGGGGGGAGGGGTTAATCCTAAGAAACCTTTTATACTTTACACAGCTCAGGGTCTCAGTCTGTCTTAAATCCTGTTTAAGAAGTTAAGCCTGAAAGCATGGAGGCCTGTAATCTTCGTAGGGATCAGGTATGCACAAAAGCCCCCCCCACCTTACCCACCCAGATATAAGACAGACCTCTGTGCATTCACCATCAAGATCTAATGATGTGCTTCTAAATGCATTCAACTGCATTTACAGTGTTAGAGTTACTGACACTGGTGACCTATCATTAATGTATGTGGGTTCAGCTAAATACGCTTACAAGCATGTCTTCAGAATTTTACAGGAGGAGAAGGTACGACATACTGTATAACTTTATTCATTTTCATTACAACTTGCAAGGGTAAATGCATTCACCCAAAAACAAATGCTTTTCTTGTTGTTGTTGTTGTTGTTGTTACCTGTTTTATTGCAAGATCTTTCCATCAAATAGGGCTGAAACAGACACTGCATACAAAAGACCACCTTTCCACAAAAGAATATACATAATTGGGCAAGTGGCTGGGTGCAACATCTACAATGCTGGGGCCAAGATGTTTCAGGAACGTTGGTTTGATGAATATCAGAAACTCCCTAGCTCTTTCACCATATAGATGAAACCATGCAAATTGATTCATGATCCACTCTGCTCCCTTGATTTCACCAAGTCTTGAGGGCTCCACTTGGCTTCTTGGAGATTTTCCCCAGATCATTTACATACATATGCATAGACATAAGCATAAAGCTTCCACATGTGGGAAACTCCCATGCACAATCTGCTGCTGGAGCTAGAAAAAAAACTGCAGCAAGTCTCTACATTATATTAGCCTTTGAGACCATACTACCAGTTTGAGTCTAGTTTAACTACCATGGATCTGTTTTTGTTTAGCTGTTAAGTTGTGTCTGACTCTTTGTGACCCCATGGACCAGAGCACACCAGGCCCTCCTGTCTTCCGTTGCCTCCCGGAGTTTGATCAAATTCATGTTGGTCGCTTCGGTGACACTGTCCAATCATCTCATCCATGGATCTATCTACATCTTAAAGAATCCTGACAATTCCCTTGCTACAGCCCATTCTAGACCAGAATATGGCCAAGCTGACACAGATATTCTGAGAGCTGAAGTCCCAAAAAAGTAACTTTTTCGAGCCCAGTCTCTAAAACCCAGATCATGATTACGTGACCAAAGAAGCCTCATCAAGAGTGGTTTGCATTCTCTTTCAAGGGCTCATTCTCTTGTCCATCATTCACATATCTTGATATAGTAATTATTTTCCCTTTCATTTGACCTGTAAAAACTACCGGTTCTGCTATCTAGAACTCCCTTCAAACCATGGCTTCAATTCCCATTTTAGGAAGCAATCTGTGGTTCACAGAAGTCGAACTTGGCTCAGCATGAACATAACTGCGTGTGATGGTTATTGCACAACACAGAAGAAATCTCTCAAGGATGATCCATCCCCACCCACTTCTGAAGCTCCAAGGTGGGGAGGGTGAATGGATGCCCACATGTTCATCTCAGCGGGTGGCACCACATGACATGCCAAGCAGAATAGTTGAAAGCTCAACATTATTTATTTATATTTATATATATGACTTGTATGCCGCCCGCACCCTGCAAGGGTCTCTGGGTGGCTTCCAACATCAATTAAAACAGTTCCGTTAAAACAAACACACTAAAAACCAAGACGGTTACATCTATACTCTACAAAAGCAAAAACAAAAACAGTCTAAAAAAATCTAGATCCATGACTCTATCAATTAAAATTTGAAACCTTCAATTAAAAAAAACTTCAATTAAAAAATTTCCGGAACAGGAAGGTTTTAACATGACCAATCAAAGTTGACAGCTACACTTCAGTTCATATACTTCTACAAATCAATGTACTACAAGGCTATTGATAGCAATAAGACGTCTGAAAAATCATATGGGTGGAGCAGTTCCTTATTTATTTAAGTTCCTTTGTTGCTTGCTCTGTGCCACCAAGATGCTTCTGACATATTTAATTTAATTTCTTAACTTGTTTATTTACTCTATCCTGCCCAACTAGTAGCAGAGCCGTTACTCTGAGCCGCTATCAAAGGAGCATCAAAATAATATAATAAGAGAAATAAAAACAACAAAAAGAAATGTTAAAAAGCCCACCAAATCTCAAAGTTGAGCTCATTTTGTCTGGTGGGTGCCACGACAGATCAATGGAGACTCACTAGGACCTTATTTTGTGTGATAACTGTTGCTTGCTGTTACTCAGCAATAGTCTTTGTTGTTGTTTAGTCATTTAGTCGTGTCCGACTCTTCGTGACCCCATGGACCAGAGCACGCCAGGCCCTCCTGTCTTCCACTGCCTCCCGGAGTTGGGTCAAATTCATGTTGGTCTCTTCGATGACACTGTCCAACCATCTTGTCCTCTGATGTCCCCTTCTCCTCTTGCCCTCACACTTTTCCAACATCAGGGTCTTTTCCAGGGAGTCTTGTCTTCTCATCAGATGGCCAAAGTACTGGTGCCTCAGCTTCAGAAATAATCTGAGTCTTTTAAAAGAAAAATCACTTCCCCGGCCTCTCCAACAAGCAGAGGAGGAAGGGTTCAATTTGCCGATACCCTGAAGTGGGTGGCTTATTCAGCCACCTCACAATATCAGAAGGAGCCAGACCAAGGGTTGCTTCAGCTCCAGATGTGAGAACTGCACCCAATGGCATACCACACCTCTTCTCAATCCCAAGCAACCCTATTTAGCCTGCACTATGCCACTCCAAAAGAGCCAGTGTAAGGTGAGCCCAAAGTATTTCACCTCCTAGGTCAAACCAAACCCGAATTCCCAGTACAATGATTAAACTGAGGTCATCATACCTTGGACATACCACGAGAGAACAAAACTCATGGTAGAAGGCAACAATGCTGAGAAAAGTGGAAGGAAGTAGGAAAGCAGAAGGCTTCATATGGGGTGAACTTGCTCAGTAAAGGAAACCATTGCCTTCAGTTTGCAAGATCTGAGTAAGGTTGGTAATGATTAGGGTCTTCTACTCATTAATTTGCAGCATTGCCATCATCTGAAGGCAATCTGGAGACTCATAATAACAAGAAGGGAGAACAAAATTAAAAATAACTTCCTATGAAAATGGCTTAAATGAGGACCTGTATTATGAGTATATGACACCCAGTGTGCAGCAGTGGATACCGTGATAGACTAGAACTATGGAGGCCTGAAATCTGCTTCCCAGTGTGGCACAGTGGATAAAAGGAGGGACTAGGACTCTGGAGAAGAGGGTTCAAATCCCCACTAAGCCACGGAAACTTACTGGGGAAGTGGAATTGGCAAAAGCCACTCCTTAAATATCTCACTTACCCTGAAAGCCCTATTAGGGTTGCTCTAAATTGGTTCCAACTCGAAGGCAGAAAACACACAGAGAGAGCAGACCTCTGGTGGGTAATCTTTCTCTTGAGACACTCCTATAAAAGTGTTTTCATTGTGTGTGCAACAGCTAAAGAGTTTCATCTTCCACTCACCTATAAGCCTCAAATTGTGTTGGCTTATGACTAAACAAGCCCAAATGTGGTCTCCGTGTGTGTGTGTGTGTCTGTGTGTGTGCACGCACGGGAGGCTGAGGGCCGAAAGCCTTGTTTGGAAAAAACAGGTGATCAATGTGTTCTATTTAAAGAAAGGTTAGAACAATAAAGTGGCCACAGTTTCTTTTTCCAGGGTCTCCCTCACCTCCAGAGACAGTAAATGCTGAGTAACATTTCCCTCTTTGCAGGCCCTGCGCCTGGCCCAAAGGCCTCGGTGTTCTCGCTTGTTTACCAAATGTCTGAAATGAAGTCAGGAGGAAACCCACAACTCCACAGAGGTAAACAGAGCCTGGTCCCGTTGTCAGGGTGCATGGGGGACCTCCTGGGAAGGTCAGCGTGGGTTGGACCATCGTCGAATGCTTTCTCCCTGCGGGTAATGATGTGGCCAGATTGCCAATGGATATGAAAGCCAGCTTTTGGGGTTTGGATGCCCGTCTGTGTGTCTCTTTGTGTGTTCATGGGAAATACGGGCAGAAAGCTTGCATGCTCCAGAATGTATAGCCAGCTAAAGGGTGAAAGCCCTTAAAGATATTTTTTTTGTGTTGTTTCATTTTGTTTTGGATGAAATTGTAAGAGAGCCCAAGTTTATCTTCTGCTACACCACAGCTTGGGGAAAAGGCATGGTTGGATTACAACTCTTAGAGCAACCCACTGGAGAAATATGGGAATTGTAGTTCCATGCGCTTGATGCTAAAGCATCTTTCTTCTTTTCAGTGAGGTGCAACCAGCTTAACTTCCAGTGGTGCAGTGCAGTTGTTCCCCAGATGTTCTTGGAGTACAACTCCCAGACAACCTAGCCAGCATAGTTGGTGGCGAAGGCTTTGATGGGTTTTAGTCCGAGAACATCTGGAGACCCAAGACTGGGAAATGTTGGTGTAGTGGAACTGGGACTCATTGGGCTGAAGCACCAGGAGTCAGAGAAAAGAAGAGAGATGCTGATGCTGCTTCGTCTCCTCAGCTTCCGTTTTTACTTTCTGAGCTTAACTGCAGTCTGCAAAGGAACAACGAGGAAGGATGGAATATCCCAGAAGACAAACCCAAACGAGCTTGGAAATGTTCAAGATATATGGTGGCACCAGCTCAATGTTCTTACCTGATCACATCTTCAAAGGTGTCCCAGTGAGTTACATTAAGGCGCTCACCATGGAATCCACATCAGAAGAGGGACTTCCCGGGATCGAATGCAGCGCCTCCATAACAGTCGTATCACACTGGCCTCCAAAGATGTCAGGAGGAAACACACTGTTCAGAAAGACCAGCTACTTCCTGGCCAACAAGTTAGAGATGGTGGCCAAGAGGCAGAGGGATGGAATTGTCTATGTTGATACTTTCTTAACCTTTTTTTGGGGGGGGGACAACACACAGGAGGTTGGTTTGCAGAAGAATAATTGCTCACGTTCCATGATTGAGTGTGTGTTTTTCCCCCCCACAGCCTATAAGCAGAGACACCACCTTGCCAACAAAAGTCCGCATAGTCAAAACTATGTTTTTTCCTGTAGTGATGTATGGAAGTGAGAGCTGGACCATAAAGAAAGCTGACCGTCGAACAATGGATGCTTTTGAATTGTGGTGCTGGAGGAGGCTCTTGAGAGTCCCCTGGACTGCAAGGAGAACAAACCTATCAATTCTAAAGGAAATCAAGCCTGAGTGCTCCCTGGAAGGACAGATCCTGAAGCTGAGGCTCCAATACTTTGGCCATCTCATGAGAAGAGAAGACTCCCTGGAAAAGACCCTGATGTTGGTAAAATGTAAAGGGAAGAGGAGAAGGGGATGACAGAGGACGAGATGGATGGACAGGGTCATCGAAGCGACCAACATAAATTTGACCCAACTCCGGGAGGCAGTGGAGGACAGGAGGGCTTGGCGTGCTCTGGTCCATGGGGTCACGAAGAGTAGGGCACGACTAAATAACATCTCTGCCTCTTCATTTATTAAATCCAAACACTTTGTTCCACTAAATCTATGAAACAGCACCATGTTACACCAGGAGCATATGAGCAAAAAGTGTTTCTCAGCATGTGCTGCTTTCCCTCAGCACCACAGATAGTACCCAGACTCTCAGGGTCTGTTCACACAACATGCATATCCACCGCCTGACAGCCACATCCTAAATGAAGGAGACACACCAGAAAGACTGGAGCCTAGAAATTTCACCCTCATCTGGCACTGATTCATAGGCATTATTTCTCATCAGGGAGAGTTCACACATTTCCCTGACAGTCAGCAAGTGTTGAGAAACCGTGATGGGGAAAACAACAGCAACAGGTAAAACACATGTTGTGCAAACCAGATGTCAGGATAAAAACTGCAGGTTCCCACAGCAAGAATACGAAGGACGTGTTTCTCTACCTACACATTGGCAACAAATTTTTCCTTATCCGTTTGTTAGGCGCCTTCTGTATTTCTTGTTCCCCAGGAACACACCCGCACCCCTGAAGCACATGCATGCCCGGGTGTCCATTTAAATGGGTGCCAGCTCTCCAGGTCTGAAAACTAGGCATCCTGGCAGGTATGATCCTGCTTCACAGGACGGGTGCCGTAAGAGGATACAACGTTGTGCCCGTTGTGTGTCTCGGGGCATCTGCAATACACACAGGGGCAGGAAAGCTCTTGCAAAAGCAAAGCAAATAAACAAAGCAGGACGCGGAGGGGAGGGGGAAGAGAAGAGGGACGACAAATTTCCAAAGTCCTAAATGAGCGGTGCACACGTATTTGCCCCTTCTGGAAGCCTTCCAGCAGTTCCAGCGACACGCCGCAGCCGCCCTGCTCCCGTATAACGTGTGAAAGCGAGTCCCTCTCTCACCTGCTTGACCTGGAGGTCCACCACTTTCTGCAGGACGCGCGCCACGAGGAGGGAGATGCTGACGATCAGGAAGGTCATGGCGAGGACGCCCGTCGTGACCAGGCAGAGCTTCCTCATGGCTGCGGGGAAGAAAGAGGCGACTAGGCCGAAGGGACTCGGGAACCAAGGCACCGGCGGAGGGCCCGAGCCGAGCCTAAGCGTGCTGCCCGCCTTCCTCCCACGCCGGGGCGGCCGGCTGCAGCGCCTGGCAAACCGGAGGGCGGCTTCCCTGCCGCGGAGCCCAGGCGACGCCTCCCGCGCTCCCACACGGAGGCGGAGGCAAGGCCCGCGCCGCGCCTTGTGTTGTTGTTGTTCTCCCAGCGGGGAGGGAAGAGGAGGGGACGGGGAGGCAGCGGCCTCGTTCGGGCCCCGAGGGCTCGGGCAGGAAGAAGCGCGGAGAGAAGAAGGGTTGGGTCCCGCGGCGGCTGAGGCGACGACGACGACGACGCGCCTGCCCCGGATGAGCTCAGCGCTGGGCGAAGGGGGCAGGCGCTCAGCAAACTGAGGGAGGATGATGAGGATGATGATGACGACGACGACGACTCAGAAGCGCCCTTGTGGTGGCGTTCTGGCTCGTGGTTGCCGTTGTTTTCCTCTCCAGGAACGCCCTGGATGGCGAGGGCACCCATGTGGGGACTCTTCCTCCGATTATTATTATTATTATTAGCCCGGGCGCTTTTTCTCGTCCACCCGTAAAAAGCGCCACTTTGGGTGACATCAGGCCAAACACATTCCCTCGGCCTCACAGGGTCGTGGCGAGGACCAGATAGGAGGGAAGAGAACCATGTAGTGTACAATGTGTTGGCCTCACAGACTACTTTTACCTCACTTGTATCAGTAACTGCTCTATCCCTCACTGGAAAAAGCAGTAAGAATCAGCGACGTGTCATGAAAAATATCAGACAAGGATGCAAGACCTTGACTGCGAGGTGGCACTGGTGAAACCACTCCTTAAACATCTCACATACCTAGAAACCCCCCTGGATTGACACCATTTGAAAATGACTTGATGGCATGCAACACTTGCAGTAATTTAATTGCATTCCCCTTACCCACTGTGAAGACAAATTTTGAGCCGTTTCTTTTTTTGAAAATATTGGGAAATTGCTGTAGGCTGAATTTCTTGATTGTTCAATAGCTATGTAGTTCTCTCTAACACCACTACAGATCCCATGTGTCGCTCTACCTATTACTGTGGCAGATCTTAAGCCCTCTGGGAAGGAAATCTGACAAATACTCCTATGTCATTTACAGCCCCCAATTCCTAAACGGCATACTATCCTTGCTTTTAGTAGAAGCAGCAGTAAAAATGGAGATTATGGCTGGAGAGAGTTTAATTCTAAAAAATATATATTTTTAATAAATTCAAAGCATCTAATTTAAAAAATCAAGATTATACAGGGTGTTTTGCGGGTACGTGGATCACAGTGGTGTACAAATCAGACAGTCACCCTTATGTGGCTGTACATTTATCTTTGTAGCTTTTAGTTTTAACAATGAGAAATAATTTCAGGGAGAGTACGTTTAAAGGTTATTTACATGGGTCAGAAGATGGGAAAATAGGAAAATAAATTAGGCTTGCATGTGTGCATTTATTTATATGTGCATACTCAGACTCCAAGGTTTCAGGGCAGCTAACAATGTACACACAACTTGTAAAGAAGGATCCATACATATGAAAGGATTCCCCATCGAAAATACACGGAGAAACTGACCAAAATGAGACAGAAATGTTGGTGGGGAGAAGGAGAAAATAAGAGAAAGCATGTATTTTCTAATATTAAACTTGTTGACACTAAGTACTGTTATTAAACTCCTTAATTATCTTTGGATAATCCCTCTCCCCATAATTTATACTTAAGATTTATTTTATTTAATTTATATGCCGCCCACACTACCCAAAGGTCTCTGACCAAGATGATCATATCTGTGATAGTCACACCTACACATTTGAAGATGCAGCATTACGAGCTTAATTCACAGCCATGACCTTCAAGGATTTTTTTAATGTGCCAGAGACACAGACAGGCGGAACTGCTTTTAGATTTTCAGGATATGTATGCATAGTGCATGTGACACGCCATCAAGCTTCACCTGATTTTATAGGGACCCTATTAAGGCCTTAAAAGTGGTTTTGCCATTACCATTTCCCTGTGAGTTTCTGTGGCCAAGTAGGGATTTAAAGCCAGGCTTCTGTCTTGAGTTCTAGTTCAGCATTCTAACCACTACACCACACTGGTGAATAGACATAGGTATAAGTCCTTCTCACAGCTCAGCTATACTGTATTACAAAAGCAACTTTTATGCAAAAATTAGAAAACAGATGTAATGTTATTGTATCTGAGTGGAGGTGTTCTGTAAATTCAGTTTTGACTTATTGCAGCCATAAACTCAGTGGTGAAATCTAGTAGTTAAGTTGCAGCTAGAGTATGCCCATTGAATCATTAGGGATTTGGTGAGTAAATTTCTCCATAAGTGATTCAAATAGGGCTAATTGAGTTGTGACTATTGGATTTCAGTTGTTAAGTAACTTTTAGGCAAACCTGACCTCACCATCTGTCACGAGAGATAATGCTGACCTTTCCCATATATTCTAGTTGCCAGTTCATAACCTTTTTTTCCCAGAGGGGAACTTAGTTCAGAAGGCTGCCTTTATAGACCCAAAACTTGCCAACTGATGTTACAATCCTCAGATTTTTTTAAAGCCAGATCTCGAATTGGGAAATTATGTACAGAGCAGCATAATGCATCTTTGTATAAGGCTGCAGCCTTAAATTAATGCATCAGAGTCAGCAGACCAAAAACACTACAGATAATCCTTTCTCATGGTTCAAAAAAAGAGGCATTTCCAGTCATTGCATGTGTCGATTGCCTTGTTTCACTGCTAACACCTGCTGATAGTATTCTTGCCAAACTGGTGGCTCAAGTATTTAATCATGAACAGCAGAAAGTTAATACAGAGGATGAAGAACCTGTTGGTAGATAAGGAATTATTTCAGCATGGGTTGGTGAATGCAGTACACAGCCAGATCCCTGCATGTGCTGTAATTTAACTGAAGAATATTTAAAAATGCTGTTCAAATTTCATGGCGTCATACCAAGATATCCCCGCCTTCGATGAAAAGCAGTACATTTTAATATATTCTTGAATAAGCATGGATAGTATTTATTAATCTCAACTCTCAGCAGTTTTTTGAGAGGTGGTTGAATGGGTTTTCCATGCCCTGCACGCTTTTTCCCCTTCCTGGTGACAAGCAGTAAGAGAGTCAGTTAAGCAACCCTTGAAAATAGCAGGGGGACTGTCCACAAAGAGTGGGAAGCATTATGAGGACACACCAGAGATGGGGATTCAAGTTGTGGGACTCGCTATCAAGTTGGACTGAAGTTGCACCAGTTACTCATCTTGGACTTGACTTACTGTGTTTTGTAAAATGACTCGGACCCAACTCTCCTTTTTTCAGGGGGGAAAAGCTTGTTTTTAATAGGGACTCAAACTTGGGGCTTGAGACTCAGAACTTGGTACCAAAGACTCAGACCCGGACTTGGGATTTGGACCCAAAGGCTTGCCAACACCCCTGGTACATTCAGCCCCCCCCCAGCAATAGCATCAGACCCGGACTTGGGATTTGGACCCAAACACCCCTGGTACACTCAGCCCCCCCCCCCAACAATAGCGTATAGCTAGCTAGTCCTTCCTATCCAGAAATGCTGCACATTATACCTGGTGATGAGCAAGCTTACAGTGCAGAAACTGAAAAACTGGACAAATATGGCTAATGTGCACATGTCTCAGTGATCACAGACTGAAATCAGAGTTAGCACCTTTTGAAAACTAGGTCAACACTAGCTTGGCTTGCCAGGTCTTGGGTGTTGGTCAAATCTGTTTGGGTTCACTCTCCAGATTTAAGGTCTCCATCATGAAATCTAAGAGACTGCCTCAGGATGTGCCGTTTAGTGGCTGTTTCAAGGGTTATCTTGTCTTTTTACCTATTACATTAATTTCAAGCTTTATGTTGTGGGCTTCAGCCTGCAGTTCTCTCCCTGCAGTTCCCTCTCTCTCTTTTTTTTCTTTCTTTTTTCTTTTTTTTTTCTTTCTTTTTTTTGCAGTTGTTGCTGAAGGTCTGTCCCTTCTTTTTTGTGATCTCAGAAGGGCACGTCCCTAAATCTCATATTTTAGCCCTGAAGCTTTAGGGAATGCTACCCACGTCTTTAACAATAGCCCAACACAGTGAATCTCATCACAACTTTACAGTATACTATTGAAGGCTTGATACTTCTCTCAAATTTCTGAATTTGACTAAGTCTGGTTGAATTTCAGAGAAGCTGCTATTCAAAGCAAAATAACAAGCAAAACAAAGAAAATTTGGTTTTTGAAGTCAAATGCAACTGGATGTAAATTACCCAAGGACTATTTCGATACTATTTGGCATCATTGAATTTTGCAGAAGAGAGTTCCGGCATGGGTGGCAAATTCTTGTTGTAGTTCAGAGAGTGGAGGCCAAAGCCTGGTTGGCAGTTATGCCACCCAATTGTTCCTACAGCTTGGCCACCGTCTCCTAGCAACCAGGGGCCTTCCAGGTACTTGAGGCCGGATGCATGGCTGCCTTGAATCCATAGTAGTGCTTTCTTCTGTCTTCCTTTGGCAAAGGAGCAGCTGTAGTCCTCAATCAACACTGGAAGAGGTTTCCCATAGCGCCTTATACTGTATTTGGCAACATGAGCCCTGCCCCATGGTGAGCAATAGGGAGCAAGTTGAGTGAGCTGCAAGTAAGGTAAAAGAGGTGCTTGCTTGGAGGGAGTCTAACCTATGATTTTGAGCAAGCTCTCTGTGCGGTAGCTATTTTAGATTTATTTTATAAGTCCTTACTTCCCAGAGATGTTCAAACATTCTGGGAATATTGGTACTGCCAGTTGGGATCCTTCAGCTTCCTGACTGAGCATGTTGTTGCTTTTATTGCTGTCAACACGCTTCCAACTTATGCTGACCTTATGAATGAGTGACCTCCAGAAGGGTCTATTTATTAATAACCTTGTTCAAGACTTGCAAATTCAAGGCTGTGGTTCCTTTATTGAATCAATCCATCCTGTTTGGTTGTCTTCTTTTCCTGCTTCCTTCAACTTTTCCTGCCATTATTGTCTCTTTCAATGAGTTTCGTCTTCTCATATTACAGTAGATCTGTAGACTCATGTTCACTAAATTTTGGTTTAGTGAAAGAATAGACTCAGTTTGATTTATAATCCATTTCTTTGTCTGGCTGTCTATGGTATCCATAAAGCTCTCCTTTAAATATAACCTGTCATATTAATTCCACCCCCACCAGTCTTCTTTGATGTCCAGCTTTCATATCCTTAATGAGTAACTGGAAATACTGTACTATAGTATGAATCATATTGGTTTTGGCATCCAACAACACATCCTTATGATCTTTTCTTGTTCCTCTGTATTTGTCTTTTTAAGTCTCAAGTATTCTTCTGGTTTCTTGGCTATTGTACTGGCTTGGAAATAGGCATCTCTTCTACCAATTTCCATTCCTTCATCTGAATCTCTTCTAGCTTTCCATATGATAAATAGTAGGGAGATAAAATACACTCTTCTCTGATACCTTTGTCAATAGAAAACCATTCAGTTTCTCCATATTCTGTTCTAACAGTAGATTCTTGTCCACAATGAGGCAACCCCGTTTCTTTCAGAACAACCTCAGCTTCTCCTGAGCCACATAGTCAAAGGCTTTGCTGCAATCTATAAAGCATAGACTGATCTTTTATCGAAGTTGCAGACTGATAGAATATAAGTATTATAAATGAATGTAGTCAGTTGCTACCCACAGCAAAGCTCATTAACAGGAATACTGTCTGTTAATAATAAAAAATAAGTCTATTACTGTATTATCATTTTATAGGGACTAGGATGTGACAGGTACTTTGAAACCTTGAAAGGGCAGAGGGAAATGGGCTGCAATGGCTTTTCTTTAAAAGGGGGGGTAGGGAGAGGAAAATTTGGTTTGTAAATAAAACGCATGATGGCCACTCCCAAACAAAGAATACTTTAGAATCTTAAAGACTGACAAATTTATTAAGGTCCAAGACTTTGAGGACTATAGTCCATTTCACCAGTCACAACAGAGGCAATTTTTTTAAAACTTTAAATCATTCCTTATCTTATTGCATAGTTCCCAAAGACTTTCTCAAACAAAGAGGATCCCTAGGAATCCCCAGGACCTGGGAGAGAGGTGGGAAGCTTCTAATTCTCTGGAAGTGACCCTAACACAGCTGCTGGTGGTGATATCACCAGAGTTACACCAACAGGATTCTGGCTATTGTATAATTTCTGAGCTTTCAAATTATTATAAATAGACTTAAACTGATGACCTTAAAATATGAAGATTTTTTTCCCTTGAAGCACCTGTGAAAGTTTTTAAATCATGTTCACATCTTGTGTTCTTTCATCCATCAACTGACACTCAACAAGAGTCATTCCATCAAGGTGAGGAAAGGAGGGATGGGGAAAGGGCACATGTGAAGTGGGAATGCACACTCATCCACCCACACACTCAACAGTGGAACAGTGGAATGTTTTGAGAAGGAGAGAGACAAAGAAGGTGTCTTCCTGCCACTGGAGAAGAGCAATACTTTGCTTTATTCTTGGCATTTGATGTGTTATATGAATCTAATAAAGTCTGTACATCATCTTTAAACCTTTGAAATTCTGTCAGTGCAAAAATATTTTGGTTTACCTTTTGTTAGTTAGGCAGATTACCAACTTAATTGCTAGTCCTTGAATTTTATCTTCAGGGCAAAGAGACACTAGAATTGTCATCTTCAGGGCAAAGAGCCACGAGAGCCACCAAATTGTTTCAGAGTTGTATTTGTGAAGGCTTTCACGGCCAGGATCTAATGGTTGTTGTGGTTTTTTTGGGCTTTTTGGCTGTGTTCTGAAGGTTGTTCTTCCTAACGTTTCGCCAGTCTCTGTAGCTGGCAACTTCAGAGGACAGGAGTAGTACAGTACTCTGTGCTCTGGTGCAGTTTGTTTGGGAGTTGGGTATTTATAGCTGTTGGATCAGCTTTGTCCTTTCCAGGAAATGGGTGATTGTGGTGATCAGTGTGTTTTTGTTGTGGGTGTATTGTTGTGCTAAGGAGGAAAAATTATCTGTCACTGTGATTGATGGATGTCTTTAGCTGGTCTTTTGTGTGTAGTGTAGTCCTTGTGGCTGGGTAGAGTGCGTTGACCTTTTGCAGGCTGTATTTTTCAGTGCTGGGAGTTGAGCTTTATTGAGTTTCAAACTTTCCTCTTTTTTGTTGAAGCTCTGCTGGTATTTTTGGATTTCAATGGCTTCCCTGTGCAGTCTAACATAATGATTGCTGATGTTTTAGAGTTGATGGTGTTGGTGCCTTTGAAATGCCTTTGTTGATTTGGGGAACTGTTTCCAACTCTTCTCTAGGTTATTGGGTTTGTATTTGTGATTACTGTACTTTGCAAAGAGTTACCACAGCTAAGGTTTTGCAGGTGGGTGTTTTGGGATGGAAAGGAAAAGATTTTAAATTGCTGCACTGAAGGAGTGCAAGGGGTGGCCTGTCTAGGAATCTATTTTTACAATGAGGCTCTGATGTCACAAAGTGAGACTCTCATAACCTTGGGTTAATTGTGCCAGTTCAGCTCATAAACTCATACTATTTTGGTGACTAGTATAGCTATGTAAGAGTTGAACATTTTTTACCTTTTTATTTCATGGGCAGCAAGCAAGGCCCTGAGAGCCTGAAAGAGTATGAAGTTTATAAATGTTGATCACATTGGTGATCTCTGATCTGAGTAGAAATTTCATTTTTTTTTTAATATTACAGGCAATGACAGGTGAGGAAGAAATAACTTGGTGCTTGGACTTCACTAAGTTAGCAATGTATGTTTTAATGTCTTTGTTACATTGTTCATTCATTATATTTTGCAGGAAAAAGAATATTTGGTTCACAGCGTAAATGAATAGTATTATAGTATTATGAAAGGGTCTTGGCCTTTTCTAACCTGCACTTGCCTCAATCCACATTTAGCGAATTGTTTCTGCTGTGTGATTCTGTGAGCATCCTTCAGTCTCAAGAGACTATGGTATAGAGGTCTTGGCATAGAGGTCTTAGAACAGCGTCTAATGTGGCTGAGAAGGCCAATTCGAGAGTGACCATCCCTTCCACACTGAAGACAAATACAATCTGTCCCCTGTCCAACTCCCTGATTTTGCTGGTTTGGGGACTGCCTCTTGGCCTCAGCCTGCTGGACAAGGGTCTCTTCAAATTGGGAGAGGCCATGATGCACCACCTGCCTCCAGGCTGAATGTTCAGAGGTCAAGGTTTCCCATCTGTTGAGGTCCATTCCTAAGGCCGTGTGTGATTCATCGACTGAAATATAGCAGGGCTTTGCCTGCATATCTGGCATCTCAGGCATATAGCACTGAATGACTTGGCAGTGCCTAGAGAGTAAACTCGCAAGAAGCTGTATAGGAAAAATAAAAACAAAAGAGATGTGGTGCCATAAAGATTAATGGATTGATTTGATTGTGAGCTTACATTTCCTAAACCAAATGAACCATAATAGTTAGGGCACAGGTTAATGTATAAAGAGTACATGGTGGAGGGGTAAGGCCAAGTACCGTGAGGAAAAAGTGCTTAACAATTACATTGATAATGGAGTGTTAGAATAATAATGCCTCACTTTTGTAAGAGGAGGAAATAGATGTTTGCCATAATATGTTCTTCAACCCTAGGGGAGATAGAAATGTTACAAAGAGCCCATGGTTAGAACTGAAACACGTTGGTCTTGCAAAGATAGGGAGGAAGAAATCACAATTCAAAGGGAATTCCATGCTGAAGTGCTGAACAATAATCGGTGAACCAAGAAAGATAATATGAAATTACATGAGGTGTGAAGATAGGTGTGCTATCAGATATGTTATGCCTGTTTTCATGCTGAGTATGCAAACAGTAGCATGTGATTTATTTTAGTCTCGCAAAGGCTGTTTGAAGGCAGGCATGGAGCAGAATAAAGACACTCTGAGGAAGGTTGACTCCACTTCAGATTGGAGCTACGTGGACATGGGTTCAGGGTGCTTTTGAGTGCTGATTGTTAACTCTTTGTTTCCAGGTATAAGGAGAGGCTGCCTTCCAAGTGCTTTCAAGAGCGTGTGACTAACAAAGAGAGGTTCTCGGATGCACTCAATGGCCAGCGATGGAGATTTCTGAAAAGTGGCCTGGATGATTTCAGAAATGGTTGCCCTCCCCCTTTAGACAATATCATCATTCAAGGCAAAAAGGGGCCTGTGCCGATAATTCTACAATACAAAAAAGCAGACGCTTCACTGATGGTGCCATATAAAGCCCCAGAACTCCAGACCAGAAGTGATGTCGTTTACTCCAAACTCAGCGCAACACAGAAAGCAAGGAAAGATTACATTGCACAGACCGAGCGCTGCCTAACACAACACCCACTCGCACTTTATCCTCATTTGGAGGAGAGTGTGCCAACAGAGGTAAAAATAATCTCCTGTTTGTTCTCAGTGGAGAATCCAACACACAAGTCAGAGATCCCAATTTTTTGATCTTGAATTTCCTATTCCATGCTTTTACAATTTGAACAAAGTTTGGCCAAGAGAAGCAGGGCATGGCTACTATGCATTCATGCAGGCCAAAACTGTAGAAGCAAAGATACTCATTTCTTTTATGCTCTAATATTCTGAGAATATCATATTCTTGGTCTGTAATGATATATCCTCTGTAGAGTTTGCTTGAAGTACTTTATATATCAGCTATCTAGCATCTCAAAAGTTTTAAACCCAACTTTTATTAAAATCCAAGAACAATGTTTATTAGAGGTATATGCAAAGGAACTCATCGCTCTTCATAACCTTTGTAAGTTGATTCACTATAAGTTAATTAGTTCATAAAGGAAATAAGCTATGTCACAAAATTGTTGGCTATCAAGATAAAATGTTCCTGTATTTACTTCTGTGTGCATAAAGCAACCTTTAAGCATTACAATAGATTAAGCATCTTAAGGGGCAAAGTATGCTCCAGAATATTTACTAATTAGCTTGTAGAGATCCAAACTAGGATGCAAAATGTTTTGCTTTGACCGAGCAAGGTCAGCGCTAAACCAGTTTGGAGTCAAGTGATACATTACAGATGACACATGTTAGAAGCTGAAAACACATTAATTTCCATGAGTCCTGTTTTGATTGAGCTTCATACTTGAACAATCATACTTTTAAATGAAACCTATATTTACTATCCAATAAGAATTCACAAAACGAAGCAAACTAATTCATAAGCTAAAAAACTACTTGTGAAAAGCTTAGGCTGTGACAATCACACATCTTTCAGGACTTAAAAGAATTCTATATATATTTCAAATATTTCTGAAAGAGTGACCTTATTAGTCTGTTGCAGCCAAGACAGCTAGTCTTCTGGCACATTAAAAAAAACTAGCAACCTCTATTTATTGCTGCTCAATTTTTTTGGGCCACTAACATCGTCTTTTCAAGAACTGCATGAGTACACACACACACGACAATATTTGTGTGGGGGTTATATTTATCTGATTCATTCTAATCTTCAGTATACCCAGCAGTAGGATGTTTAAGTTTCTTTGCATGAAAGATGATGTTGTTCAGATGGGATTAAAACTGGTGACAAACTATTCCGGACCTTGTGCTCTTTGTCTGCTTTATCTCCAGCTTTTTCATGATGTCATGGGACTCCTGGATCCTGAGATGCATCTGACAAGATGCTCAGCTAAATATAGCAAAACTGAGGAGAACCTCTCTCAGTATCAGCTGGAGTATGGCACAAAACAAGAGAAACGCTTCAGCCCAACTATCCCGTGAGTAGAATAAGAGATGGTGTGAGGCAAAAGGTGTCAGGTTTCCTCTTGAGTCTGGATGCCTTGGTTCCTTTAACGAGGATTGATGGGTGAAAAAAAAATGGAAATGAATTATTTTGGATTAAATGTTAGGGAGAACTTGGGCTTTTCTGCATATCCAAGCTCTGTGTGCCTCTCACATCTGCATGAAACTCCCATAGTCTTTGTTAATTTCAGTAATGCAATATTTCATCAGTACATGAGAAGGAGAGGGGAGGGAGTCCTGCTTCAGCGTTCACCTTGTTGCCAAGCAATACATTCCCCCTTTAAAAAAATAAAGATAAACCTCATCACCTGGTTGGACCGAAATGTCAACACAAACCACTAAACCTCTGCAAGTCATTAATTTCAAAGTGTATAGCGAAAGTATTCTGGTCATTGGCAACATTCGTGAGTTTCAGATCTAGCAATGTCAGCTTGGGTTGTCAAGATAGTGGCTTTTGTGCCAGGAACCATATTGGAGGGAATCTGATAGGTAAGCAGACAAGGCCCCTTGACAAGGTAAAGGTTCCCCCTTGACATTTAGTCCAGTCGTGTCCGACTCTAGGGTGCGGTGCTCATCCCCGTTTTCAAGCCATAGAGCCAGCACTTGTCCGAAGACAGTTTCCATGGTCACGTGGCCAGCGTGACTAGACACGGAACGCCGTTTACCTTCCCACTGAGGTGGTCCCTATTTATTTACTCACATTTTTACATGCTTTCAAACAGCTAGGTTGGCAGGAGCTGGGGCAAAGCGACAGGGGCTCATTCTGTCGCATGGATCTGATCTTACGACTGCTGGTCTTCTGACCTTGCAGCACAGAGGCTTCTGCGGTTTAATCCACAGTGCCACCACATCCCTTCAGACAAGGCCCAGCCACGGCCAATTTCCTGTAAAATGTAAGAAACAAAGTAGATAAGAAAGTAGAACACACCTGATCAGAAGCTTGCAAACATCAGATAAAAAAACAGAAAACTCAAAGAAAAGCAACGTTGCCTGTCTTCTTAGCAGACCACAATGGGTCTGCCAAATCGCTACTTCTCGTTCCACGTTCATCTTCCTCCTATATCTTGTTTGCTGACTCTAATGGCTTTTAGTGTCTTAGTTTTGGCCAACATGGTTCTTTATGATACGGTATACACCAGAGTTTGGAATGATACAGCACAAAAAGGATTTGTTTGGTTCCTTGCCGAGGAACACACTTTACAGCTCATTATCATCATTGTTAGTTTGGCTTTACACCTAACTTGTTTCATTATACATCAGTATTTACCTTCAGCATGTAAGCTAACTGGGGCAGTGTGTTCCGTTTCTTCCTTTAAAAAAAATACGTAATTGAAAAAGGAGAGTCCCTATCATTCTGAGCAGTACAGGGTCTTGTTTGTTCTTCGGACAGTTTTGACTGTGATAAAGTTACTGTGAAGCAATGCATTCACAGAGGCAAGAGACAGCGTCCTGTATTGTTCTGAGTATTACTTTTCAGTAAAAAACCGAAATAGACACATTCAGGGCCTTCTTGCATACTGAAGGCAAATGCTAACATCGGCAGAAGTATCAGCACCTACAGATGATACGTGACAGTGAGATATAATCATTTGTAGGCATCAGCAAGTGTCATAGATACTGTATGAGAATGCTGATAATGTATTTCTTCTACCTCTAGGGCCTGGTTGCCTAAAAGGAAAAACCCTTACACGTGGCTTAGTGAAAAAGAAACGGCTGAGAGAGAAAAGGCAGCCAAAATAGCTTATGTTCCTCCATTGGATGAGAATGTGAAGCGTGTAACGAAGGAGTTTTGTGAATGGGTCAGTGCCATGGTAAGCTAGGGGTTGACTGAAAAAATCAGTTGATCATGGGTCGAAGCAAATTCATAAAAAGATATGTGTGATATATCATAGATATATCATAGATATATATGATATATATAAAAAGTATATGCTGTTTTTCAGATGTCATGGACTTCTGTAAACTGTAAACGATGGCTGTTTAATGTATTCATGAAGGCTTTCATGGCCGGGATCTAATGATTGTTGTTGGTTTTTCAGGCTCTTTGGCCCTGTTGTGAAGGTTGTTCTTCCTAACGTTTCGCCAGTCTCTGTGGCCGGCATCTTCAGAGGACAACACTATGGCTATTTATCTTAAAGTGTAGTTGGGGAAGGTGCTGATTTGATATATGCATTTGTTATAAAGTGTGCTGCTTATATAAAGTGCTCTCTGGGAGGTCTACAATTTAATTATGCATTAATTAAACATTAATTACACATTGCCACCCTGCAGTGAGTCGAGTACTCAGTTTACTGACCTCAGAAGGATGGAAGGCTTGAATCAGCCTTGAGCCAGCTACCTGAGCGTGGGACCAAATTAGGTTGTGAGCAGAGTCTTCACTGCAATACTGCAGTTTAACCAGTGTGCCATGAGGCTCTGTGTTATGGTTAAAAATGTGTGGTCCAAAGCACCAGACCACTTCCACACAATGAAAAAATCTGCTTTTATTCATCCTGAAGCTTAAGAAAATAGCTGAATTAGTCTGCTTCTACTCTTATTTTCTGTTACCATCCCAAAGTCTTTTGCTCAGTATGTGTGAAGTGTTCGGCCTTTGTGCTACCTACTCAGTACTGACTCACTAAATTTATCTGACATCATTGTCATGCCATGCTGAATTTGCCTACATAGCTCCGTAAGTTAGGTAATTGGGTGGAGTCAGAGGGTGGGGGTTCAATTCCCTACTTTGCCTCCAGGGTGAAGAGCCGACCCGTGTAGTCTGCCCAGCCCCAGAATGAAGGCAACATAAACCATTTCTGAGTATTCTGTACCTAAAAATCCCCAGAAAGGGTTGCCATTAAACAGAGCTTGATAGCACCTGATCATAATTTATACTAGCTAAATAGGTCACTGAATCAGGGAACCGGCTGCAGAACCAGACATTCACCGATGGATTCCCTACTGTATGTCACAGGATAAAAGCCAGCCTGTGTGGCCTTGGGTGAGCTGCACAGTCCCAGAATGCCCCCAGAAGAGGAGAATGGGAAACCACGGATGAGTGTTTTCCTCCTAGAAAACCCTGGAAAGAGTCGCCGTAACTCAGAATGGACTCAATGGCATATAATAATAATTACTGACCAAAATTCTGTTCATTGCAGATCATAACTTTCTATCTCTTTCTTCCTGGCAAATAAAGGTCCCTGCAATTATCAGAAAGAGGTGGGGTGCACATGCATCCTAGCTCGGTGCATTTACCCCACCATTCTGAAAATAACAGCAGGGTGTTGGGTTTTTTTTTTTTTAACCATAGAGGAACAAATGGAAAGTTATGGCTTGGTTTAATCTAGAAATCAGATTTCAGTCCTTGCCGATATGCTCAATAGAAGTAGAATTGTGCAACCCTTTTGAAATCAGAATAAAGACCACATGAGGGGAAGTGATTTCAGCCTATGTTGCAACCTTTGCAACAGTTAAGAAAAAGTGGAACTGCAAAAGATCATTCTAAGGCAGCTTGTGGGTTTCGCATCCATGAAAGTTTGCAGGGTGATACCCGTGCAGCATGACACCCAGTCTTGTGACTGGAAAAGAATAAGGGGAAATGATAAAATAAATGCTTTGCTTTCAACAATTCTTGATACTTAATCCAGAGGAAGCAAATCCTCTGTTTGGGAAGAAATCATGCCTAAAAACCAGTCTAAGAGGCATGCCATTCTATTCCAATCAGCTAGGAAGAGTGCTGGAAGGAAGAGCATTATGCAGTTTGTAAACAGTATTATTTCTGGTTTGATGTCTTGTTTCTGGTCTTCATGGAGGAAGCTTTTTTCCTCTCTACATCTGGCCTTGAATGTTTGCCACACATCCACTGTTCTTTGAAGCATCACAGGTCAGAGATAGGAAGATTGATGAATGACAGTCTTGTCCACTGCACTAGCTACAGAGATGAGTTTGGCCCGCCTCAGATCTCACTGGCTTTACTTCTTTGGGACACAAAGGAATGTTGTGTTTGGGGGGGGGAGGTCTAGGCTTTAGGTCATAACCATAATGGATGAGCAGCTTCCCTTAACATTTTGGATGGAGACACCTTGTCCTGCTAAGTCACAAGTCACGTTGATCCAGATGTATTCATATTTCAAGTAGACCCTTAAGTACATCCTGAGTAACTTCCCAGATTTCAGTGAATGCAGTCTAAATATGCTAAATCTGGGTCTCTTCTCCGTAGCCAGTCCAGTCCAAGAATTTCACTGGACAAGACTGTGATTCATTGATCTTCCTATCTCTCTCCTGTGGTTCTCCAAAGAAAAGTAGATGCGGGAACCCTTCAAGGTCAGATGTAGAGAAAGAAAAAAAAAGCTTCCTCCATGAAGTTTATTTATTTATTTATTTATTTGTTTGTTTGTTTGTTTGTTTGTTTGTTTGTTCGATTTATATCCTGCCCATCTGGTAAAGTCTACCACTCTTATGTAGCTAGCATCATCAAATGGTCTAGATTTTCTCAGATTTTAAGACTTCTGGCTATATTCGGGGAAGCAGTGTGCTTGAATATCCCTCAGAGGAAGTGCTCACTTCAGTAGCAAACAGCTGTGGTTTGAAACTGTACGTCTGAATGCAGGAAACGTAAAAGACTGCAGTCTTGTGCCTGCATTTAACAATGCGATCTATGGTTAGGTACATTGAAGCCAGGATTGAGGCCTTTCATACATGCTCCCAGCTCACTGGAACAGGTGGCAACGGATGCTAATTCCTTGCCCATCCGTTGAACCATTCCATCCACCATGACTACCTTCCTGCAAATACCTTTCCTAGAGAGTTCTGCAGTGACAGAAACTACTGCCTTCTGACCGTTTGTGCTTGGTTTATAATTCCAGGGAGGAGAAAACTATAACATTGATGAAGCCACCATCATGAAATTGTTTGACACACGATATGAAACCAAGGCCAAGACATCAGCGGCGCCCATTAAAATAGTGGAGCTGTACCATGTGCCAGGAGAGCTGAGGGAGCTTGTGGGGCAGATTCCAACCCAAGATAGAATTAAGAGCCCTCTAAAGGTACGTGGGAGAAAGTGAGTGGGCATGAAGTGGTCACACTCTTGGGACACAGATATGTATGTGTCTTGAAATGCCTTGTTAAAATGATAATTCTCATGCAATTCTGTTTTATTTTTTGTAGAGCATACATATGAAAATTTACCCATCGGCAAAAATTCACTTGCCTCACCCCATCCTTCACAGAATCTTCACAGAAATTGTGTTTTTGATTTTTAAGGCCCTTTATGGTTTCACATTGGTTTGGTACCTGTAGGATCACCTTTCCTCACTGGCACCTACCTGGTTATAAAAATCTACCTCCAAGGCTCTACTCGGTGAAATATAACGAGTGGCTCTAAGAAGGGCTTTTTCAGTGGTGGCATCACAACTGTGGAATACATATTCCAAAGAAGCCCAAAACATTGCACCCTAGTATTATTATTATTTTTTTAAAAATTATTGAAAATATATTTATCTTATCTTACTCCTTAAAAAAGACCCAAGGTTGGCTTACATGATTAAAAGACAGTATTTAAATCTAACAATGGCAAGTATACAAATATAAAAAAGACTGAACAAAAACCAAACTAAAAAGCAGAAGCAACACCAAAACACATTCTAAGCAGTAAGGTAAGCAATGCATTTAAAACTCCCATTCAGGCAGCCAGTCAGTCAGGGAAAACTTGCCCAAAGAGAAAGATCTTCACCTGTTTGTGGAAGGACAGTAAATATGGAGCCAGTCTAGCCTCCTAGGTGGAGGGAGAGAGAGAGAGAGTGTTCAAAAGTCTGGGAACGGCAACGGAGAAGGTCCTCTCCCATGTCCTCACCTGTAAAGGTGGCAGGACCGAGAGGGAGGCTTCTCCTGATGATCTTAATGCGCAAGGAGGCTTATAAAGGGATAAGCAATTTAAGACTTTATAGATGAGAATCATCACTTTGAATTCTCGCTGCAAACTGATCGGCAGCCGGTGGAGCTGAGTGACTGGCTGCCGGAGAGATCCTTTTTAGGATTTGAATGTTCACTGTTGTTGCTTTCATGTTGACTTTTAATAACCTAAGCCACCTTGGGTCCTCTTAAGAAGAAAGGTAGGTTTAAAAAAATAAATAAATCATTCTATGCAAGCCAGAACCAAGTTATATAGCAACCATAATAGAGCTTTCAAGGTAAGTAAAGATATTGAAAGAGTGTCTTTACGAATTCCGCACACCGACCAGTGAGTTTCCATGGCCAAGTGGAGATTCAAACCCAGGTCCCCTGACGCCTAGTTTATCTCTCTGTCCACCATATCATACTGGATTTTGGGCCATTTCTCTACTTACACCAGCAGGCTCCTGGTGATGCTTTTGATTTTAAAAAAGAGCAGGGGGAGTAGGGAAAGATGTATGTCATATCTAACATAAGCTTACACTGCAGTCTTGCAGCTACATTCAGCAGTGAGCACTGCTCTCTTCCATGGAAGGGGTTCTTAGGTTGCCACCTGCTGGCTACTGTGCAGTACTGCATCCACAACAATCCACCAACATGTGTTCTTCCATGGAAGGGGTTCTTAGGTTGCCATCTGCTGGCTACTATGCAGTACTGCATCCACAACAATCCACCAGCATGTGGCTTTTTCTGTATTCAGCATAGGCATCCTTCAGTCTCGAGAGACCATGGTAACATGCTCTGAATCGAGGAGTGTCCTCTCCAGAGCATGAAGCCCGGGTAAGGTAATATGGAGGATAGGCTGTTACCCAAGCAGCAGATCCCCCCTCTCCACATTGCTGAAATGGTCCAATGGAAAGGCAAGAGCCAATACAACTGGTTCCAGCAATGTCGCAGGAGTTGGCAGAACGACACATGCTGCCTTCGGGACTCCAGCTCCGGATTTTGCCTCGAGGTTAACTCCTGGAGCCTTTTCCATGAGTGGATATAGCCACAAGGCAGTGGAGGTTTGAAATCAGAGTTTTCCTTCTCCTAGATGGGCTGCCTTCCATGGCTGACGAGCCCCACCTACCCGGCTTTTTTCTGTATTGTATGCTTGTGAAATGGACACTTTGATGTTCTTTAGTTGTTAAGCCATGTCTGACTCTTTGTGACCCATGGACCAGAGCACGCCAGGCCCTCCTGTCTTCCACTGCCTCCTGGAGTTGGGTCATATTCATGTTGGTAGCTTCGATGACACTGTCCAACCATCTCGTCCTCTGTTGTCCCCTTCTCCTCTTGCCATCACACTTTCCCAACATCAGGGTCTTTTCCAGGGAGTCTTCTCCCTGGAAAAGAGGAATAAATGGACACTAGGTGGTTATAAAGATGGGGTTTGCTGATTGGAGTGGCGGCATAAGTGCATATTGTTCTCACATTTATTTTTCATCATTGCTTTGTAACCTGTTACAACAGCATTGTCTGCTGGGCATAAACATGGAACTTAGGGAAGGGTTACTGTTCAAGGTGGGCAACTGGGTGATCTCCAGATGGTTTGGATTATCGTTCCTATTATTGCTGATCATTGGTGTTGTTGTCTAACATTGTAATCCAAAATATCTGGAGAGCTACAGGTCTCCAAGGTGGTTGATTTAACAGAAGCTATCAACTTAGACACTAAGAGAGCATTCCTGATGGACATTTCATAGGATGACCTGTTAAAAAGGGTATCTTGGGGGTTTCCATCCACTGTAACCTCAGTTTATAAAACCAGGGGCACTGGAGAGGTGCCTCTAAGTCATTATCCTTTACAGGAACATGTAGGAAAATACATTTTCTCTGTTGTGCCAGGCCCAAGATGTAAAGGAGCATATACAGCATCCTTTCGAACTGGGCTTGGAAACAAATCCACAGTCAATGAAGATGTTTCATACTAGTGATCTTATCTAGGATTGGTCCTAGTAAGCAGTGCGGCAGCAATAAAGGATGTTTCCCAAGAACCGCTCAAAATAAGCCACATATTTAGCCCACTGCAATAATTTATTGTAGCTTTTACCGGGGGATCAATAACTGCACTTAATATATCCAGCAAGGACTGTAACTAGCAGCCCAGACTGTAAGCATATAAATGAAGTGCTGAAGTGTTTTGGACAAAATAAAACGACCGAAAAGGCACCTGTTATTAAGCAACAATGAGGTACTATAAACAGAACATGCATACGGTATTTATGGAATGACGGAGACGCCGTAAAAACAAACTCAATGCTGGTTATTTTTTTACCAGACACCTTCTGAGCCGAAATGGGGGAAAATTAAGTACGGAGCTTGGTACCTTCCTCCCAAGAAATGGAAAAAGAAAAGAGAAAATGAGAAGGATGAGATTCCTGAATGTCTGCAAGTTTTTCTGGATTTAAGGAAGAAGAATATCCAAAAGGTAGGTAAAAACATTCTCAGCACTCTGTGCCGTGTAATTCTGTTTAACAGGCGGAAAAGCCACAGGCCATTCAAGAAGTCACTGGCCCATGTTCTGTCTCTACATTTTTTGGGGACTCGTCTACACAGCTGGGCCAGAGCGGACTAAACGGGGTCGCTAGGAGGGCTGGCAGGCCATTTGGTGCCACCAATCCTCACATTCAAATAGCATATGGACCCCAAGCTACCCTATTTGGTCCACTTTTAAAATGTATGTTTATTAAGTATGTGTATTACAGGGGATCTTTAAGGTGTGGTCTAGAGTCTGCCACAGCCTAATACACACCCTTCATACACAAATACATCACTTTGTCTTAAATGGCCAATCAAGAAATTGCCATGGTGTTGGATCCGGTTGTGGCAGTTACTTGACTGGCCCTTTAAAAAAGGGAAAGAAAAGATTTTTTAAAAAAAGTTTTTTAAAACTGATGCAGCACATTTTCACTGCTGTAATAGATGTTTAAAAAATAAGTTCACTTCTTCCCCTCCATCAAGGAGCAGAGGAAGTGGTTAAATAAGCAAGATCCTAAAGTATAGGTGGAGTTTACCAGCCAAAATCTTGGTGTAAAAGCTTTATTTGAAAATCACTGCATTAGAGATGCTGACAAGTGATATGAAAGTTACGGTCTTGGAATCAGAATGATTCTGACTTCCACTCAGAAATCATCATCCTTGAGAATGAAGGGAAATATATTCACAAGTGACATCAACATTTTGGAAGCACACACATTTCTAGCATGAACTTCCCTAACATGCAGGCCTTTCTCCTTTATTCTCTACAGGCTTTACCCGCCATCTTTACTCACAGTGAGGGTCATTTCCACTCATCATTTACTGTTTCTTGGGCTTTTTTAGAACCTGGGGAAACACATCAGTTGAATATTTATGTCACACGTTGAAAGCTATTATCTCAAGGCAAATGGCACTAATGAGAGATAGCCTTCAAAAATCTACCAAAAATGTAGCTTTCATTCATTCATTCATTCATTCATTCATTCATTCATTCATTCATTCATTCATTCATTCATTTAACCTATATGCCACCCACACTACCCAAAGGTCTCTGGGCGGCTTACAACAATTAAAATATAATAAAAAGAATAAAACAATTAAAATACAATTAAAATATATACTCTAAGAATTGCCATCAGGACTCACAGTTCATATTATTTCAATTAAAAGCCTTCTGGAACAGGAAGGTTTTGACCTGGCGCCGAAATGTCAGCGTCGGCGCCAGACGAATCTCAAACAACAACCTAGGCTCAAGAATAATGGAACTGAAATGGATCCTAGGGGCTTTTGACCAACCGCCATCCTGTCTCAGGATTTAAGCATTCTGTTTATGTCCATTGTTTATGACCTGTCTTCTAGGCCCAGGATGAAGGATCACCACTTCATGGAACATATGCTTTTGAGAAATTCCTTGAAATGAAAGGCTACCGGAAGCCTGAGGTGAGTGAAATTCATTGGCCACAATATTGGCCAAGCCTATCTATGTAGTACCTGGAGATCAGACCTGAAGTTACAGAAGCTCTGTGGAGGCAGTGTTTTTAATGTGGTCAGACTACAGACCAGTCCACTTTGTAACCTGCCAAGTCTAACAATGCCTATTTGAGATGCATAGTGGCCGGCCAGCTGCACAAGAACCTCATTTTTGCTATTCTAGTTAGGCAGCACCAACAGAAACATTCTCATGTTTCTGGTTAGCCATCCCACAAACTTGATCTGCTGCAAAATGTTTGATAGGTTGAAAATTAGGCAGAGCTGACAGAGCCTAGAAAAGGCTGTTGTTTTGGACAATAGTTTTCGGAGCCTTTTTCAGTGATGGTAAGAGTTTTCTTAGTAGTGGTATCATAGCTTTGAAACCATGAAGAAGGCCCGTTAGACTATGTTGCTAGAGCTAAGTTTAGAGTTTGAGAAAGTGTATTTTTGAATCACAACTCCCAGAAGCCCTGCCTGGGGGCATTCTGGGGACTGTTATTCAAACAAGGAACTTATTTAAATACCGTATTTTTCGCACCATAAGACACACTTTTCCCCCACAAAACGGGGGAAGAAGAAAACATTATATTTTCCTGTTTTCTTCTCCTAAAAAATTGGTGCGTCTTATGGAGCGAAAAATACGGGTAATCTTCCTCAGTTCTAGAGGGCTTCAGTGCTGAGGAGCCAGGATATCAAGTGCATTAATGTAGCATACTGAGATCGCAATGTGGACCATGCCAGTCCTATTGCAAATCCATGGTAGTCCAAAGTACAATCTAAGGAATTGGCAAACTCACACTGTGGTGCCGGGATGTCTAGAGGTTTGGGGTGTGTGGGGGGGGGCAAGTGCCATGATTTCCTAAGCACAAGGTGAACCAAGTGAGGAAGCCTTGATATACAGAAGAACCAAGCAAACACAGTCGATGCCCATCTAAAAGCCAAGACTGACCTAGCAGTTCAACAAATGCTATCTCAGAGGAAAGTAATGAACAGCACGGAGTGGATTTCGTGGACTTATTTTCAAGCCTTAAGAGAGAGTCTCAGCACAGGAAAGCTTGTGTGTCTACTGATCAAAGGACCTTGTGTCAGAAGATGCAGCAGGAGACAGATCAGGAAGTTATTTCATCTCAGCTTTCCAAATCCTGCTAGATCCTTAAACCAATACGTCTCTTTGTGAACATGGTACAGAAGGCCTCATTAGCGCTAACAAGAAGTGTTGGAAGATGCTATGTGGATACAACCTAGGACTCTCGAATGAGCAACACAGACTTATGACTGGAAAGAACTGGAAACAAGGTTTCTGGAAAGAAAGGGAGGAAAAAAGTGTGTGTGTAGGGGGGAATTATGTAATGTTATTTTAAGGGCGGAGAGATAATTTTTGTGGAAGTGAGAGATCTTCTGGGGAATTAACAGTTATCCTATCTCTGTGCCTTCAGGACACAACCGTGGTCTAAAACTAAAGCACGGTCATCTAGTTATTTAAATATAAGGCTGGAGAATATAAGGAATTATGCTATGGTAATTTGCAGCATCTACATATTCCCCCTCCTCATAGTGCTAATAAACAGTTAATTAGAGGCTTCTAAGCTCGAAGCTTCTGGTCAAATAAATAAATTCTATATAGAACGTGCTGTAACAATTAGCTCCACCCCTGGAACAAAGCCCACTTCAAATTAATACAAGCCTTGTATTAAAAATAACTAGAAGGAACACTGTTGAACCCGCTATTTTTTCCTCTATGCAAACAAGCCTTCTGTAATTCTTCCACCAACCTGTTAGTAGGTGTTAGAATTATTCACTCCTTACAGCAAGGCTGAGAGGAAATGGCTTGTTAATGACCGTCTACTGTAATCAATTTATTCATGCTAAAGAAGAGTTCTGAATCAAGGACAACTTTATTTGTTCCACCATTACCTCTGGCCCAACAGACTTTGAAGGTCTTTGAAAGAGGTCAGAAGTGCCTTTTCTTGTTTTACTTGGGTTGGTCATTCCACCTTCTCCTCTAATGATGAGGACAACTCACTTGCAAACTCTATACATTGGACTATTGTAAAGCTGCCAAGGCACTGTAAATCTGCTTGTGCATCAACCCCCATCAATTGCCCATCAGCGCCAGATAGCCTCCCCTCCCTCCCCATGCAAAAATAGAATGGAGGCAGTTCTCCTGATCTTACTGGAGCAGTAAGCTGAATGAGATGGGAGCTTCACTGTTAGAAGCCAAAAGCACATTTTATTCCCAGGCACATGATTCTTTCAAAGCTCTAGTTCTGCTTAGCCATACTTTAAAGATGCAGAGCCGGCACATACTGTATTGAGTGGAGAGCTCTAACCCCCCACACCCATGACGAAGGTGGTTAATTCTCTGAACAGGAATGATTGCATTCTGTACTCTCTTGGTTTCTAGAAGAAAAATGAATCAAGTGTGTAATGGAAAACTGTTGGTTTTACTTCTACATGTTCTTTGATGCTTATGAATTGGTTTCATTTGTGTTTCTATGTACTTATACTATATTGTACTTGGAATTTTACTGTAAACCACTTGCATTGTTCTTTATTAAGGGATATAGAAATTTAATTAATAAAATAATAAAACCAGGTCTCCATAGTGAAAATTAGCTATATTATTGGCGATATGTAATTTTGGAAAATTTAAGGTAACTAGATTTAGATACTAGATTTTAAATTGTCTTTTAATGTCAAATGTTTTTACAAAGTATTTGGAATTCTGGAAATTGTAAAATACCTATGTTTTCCCCCCAGTATGGTTGGTCTAAAGACCACAACAATAAACTGTACTGTACAGTACGGTACAGCTATATTGACAAGGATAAAGAGGCATTGATGTTTTTTAAAAATAAACAAATAAATCATATTCAGACAAGTTAGGTAACTACTTACTTTTAACTAGTTACTTATAATTAATGCATTTACCCAAAAATGGAAGTATAACTGTATTCCATTACAGATGCAACATTTTCCTTTTACAACATTACTGTTAATATTTAGCTGCTTCTACAGTAATGGGGGTGTGGCTCCAGGACATGGTGCAAGCGAAACATCTCATGGTTCAAATGCCCCCCTCTTGCTGTTTCTTGCGATTTGTTCTGTTTGTTGTATACTTAACAAACTAACAATAACGGCATCTAACACTCGCAGCATGATGGAATTAAAATAATTAAGCAAAGATTGATAAGCCCCCAAACATCAACACTTACTTCTTTCTGTGGAAAGAGGATAGTTCTGATCAGAATCGGTGACCTCCTTAAACAGTTCTGTAGAGCAGTGGTTCCCAAACTGTGTGCCCCACGGCACTACCAAACCCAGCCAGGAGTGCCACGAAATCCTTGGATCTACTCCCACAGCTTCCTTGACATACTAGTCACTGGCCATGACTCCCTCAATATGAAGCTTTGAGGGGGAGCCGAAGGAAGGGATTCTGCTGAAGTATTACTCAGCTCAGCTTCCCTATTTCTTCTCCCTTCACGTCACCTGAAGTATCATGTTAGGGGAGCCGTGGCCAGTGGCCAGTAAGTCAAGGAAGTCAGAATATGGACAGACAGACAGACAGACAGACAGACAGATAGATAGATAGATAGATAGATAGATAGATAGATAGATAGATAGATAGATAGATAGATAGATAGATGGATAGATAGATGGATGGATGAATGAATGAATGAATGAATGAATGAATGAATGAATGAATGAATGAATTTATACCCTGTCCATCTAGACCAAAGTCTACTCTGATAAGCACCGAAGTATTCTGATGTTTCCACAGTTCCTTCTCTGAACTGTGGACACTCTATTTAGAGTCTATGTACAAACATTATATTTGGCCAGATGAAAGATAATACAGAAGTGCCTCCCCGTAGATACTGGGAAGCGGGGTAGGGAGACCTATAGTGCCAGAACTTCTCCTTTCTTCTCTATCCCTTTCCCGGCTGTGATCGATTGCATGCACATTTATACATGATAGGGCAGAGCTGTTCCCAAATCCCCACGTTTTGGCAATCTAATAGAGAAAGCCGAAACTCATCAGAAGAGTAAAGAAGAAAAGGAAGCAACCCGATCTCCATCTCAGAACATGAAGAAATTACAGGAAGATAAAATAAAGCAGTTCAAGAAAGCTCTTCGCCTTCCTCCTATAAAGTCTGATCTGAAGATTCCTCGGCCATCCTATCTTAACCCCTTAACGTGAATAAACTGCTTTAGACACGTCTTGGATACAAAGGCCTCCCCTATGTCTTGTTCTTGTTTGATGTAGTATATATATATAGCAGAATCAAGTGATCAGCCTTACCCTTGGTTATTTTAAACTGCAGGTAGAGGGACTGATATTTTTTTTTTAAATCTGGGAATTTTTAAAATCTGGGAATGAGGTGAAATTGACGTTTAAATACTATATACTGTAATTGTTTGTCCTTTGTTTTCAAGGAATATAACCTTCATCAGGGGATTCACTATTTAGGGAAAGAAGAAGGAAGCAGTTAAGGTTAAATAATGCCATGTTAACTGACACGGGAGGTGACTGACTAGCCCAACACAAGCTTTGAAGATGGGTCCACAGTGAGGGGCAGGTTAGAGGATGCTGGGCTTGTTCCGCTGTCGAAATGTTATACCCAGATCTTCTCTCTTCTTTTATGCATCCTCGATTCTCGTTGGACCGTGTTTTCCCGGGTACAGTGGTGCCTCACTAGACAATGATAATCCATTCCACTGAAATCGCTGTTTAGCAAAATCATCGTCTAGCAAAAAGCATTTCCCCATTGGAATGCATTGAAACCTGTTTAATGCATTCCAATGGGAAAGAATCATCGTTGTCTAGCAAAGATCAGCCATAGGAAAGCTGCTTTGTGAACCACCAATCAGCTGTTTAAATACCTGTCTTGTGAAGCTTAGGTCCCCAAAACACCCTCTTTTTTTTGCTTTGCATTTTAAGGTTAAATAATGCCATGTTAACTGACACGGGAGGTGACTGACTAGCCCAACACAAGCTTTGAAGATGGGTCCACAGTGAGGGGCAGGTTAGAGGATGCTGGACTTGTTCCGTCATCGAAATGTTATACCCAGATCTTCTCTCTTCTTTTATGCATCCTCGATTCTCGTTGGACCGTGTTTCACCGGGTCCTTCAGTTTTAAGAGAGAGCTTCCCAATTGACATGATCAGTATTAAATTCTTTCAGTGTACCCTCGAATCTTTTACAGGGACCAAACATTGTCCAGCAAAATTCCCCCATAGGGATCACTGTTTTGCAAATCGCTATAGCGATTGCAAAAAGTCAATGTCTAGCAAAAAAAACCTGTCATGCAGGGTAACTGTCTAGCGAGGCACCGCTGTACTTCAGTTTTAAGTGAGAGCTTCCCAATGGACATGATCAATATTAAATTCTTCCAGTGTACCCTTGAATCTTTTGTTTTGTCTAACTGAACACCTGCAACAGGATCTCCATAGAAAATATGTTTTGGCAGATGGTCAGCCAACATCCTGTCTATGAGCTAGGTATAATCACAGGATTAAAATAGATTTAGAGAATGATGGAACCCCATTATTTTATTTTGGAATGCCTGGTTTGCTGAAAAGATGCACACTTTATTCTTCATTTCACTTCATTTTCTTCAGTGCTTTTTTCTGGATATGGGGTAAATTCTACAGGGAGCTGTTTTGCTGAACAGTTAATGTGACTCTTGCTTTTCTAACTCAGTTCCACATGGGCAGCCCAATGACGGTGTGGGTGCAGATGGGTGTTATGGGAACTATAGTCATATGATGTATTTTAGGGAAGATATCTAAGAGAGTTGCTTAAAGGTTTTCTGGCTGCCACAGAAGGTTTCCTGGATCCTAAACTGCAGGTAGAGAACCTGTGGCCCTCCGGATATTGTTGAACCAAACATTGCTCAATTCATTGGTTGAGGTAGATGGGTTGACAGGAGCTGGAGTTCAGTAGCATGTGGAATGCTGCAGTTTTCCTATCATCATAGTACATCTACTGCGTATATCATACTGGACCAGCCATATACTGAAACTGTAAATGAGCACTGTCATTTTTAATATGTAAGGCTGTTTCTTTCATGGATCTCATCTCATGTAGACATAGCATGATCAATGCACTGAGGAATACTAACTCTTTGCCAAGAAGTGTGTGATGAATTGCCACAAAAAGAGTACAGCCCTCCCTATATCGTATTCCCTTAAACAGAGGACGTGTAATAACTTTTGTGCTTGTTTGCTTCAGTTTCTTCTGCAGATGTTGGCTGCAAGTAGTCCTGACAAGGGAATAGAGGAGAGTGGAAGTTCCTCAAGGAAGATATCTGTGAAGGTTCTTGAAAGCCTTAAAGTGGCATCTTCCACAGTCTTCTAAGCAGCCATTTTAGTCAACTAGTGTTTGCTTGATCTTTGTAAAACTTAGCCAAGAAATTACTTAGAATGAGATACTTTCTCCCTCCCCTTCATTGGAAACTGTAGAGAAAAAACATGGTATGTAAAATATATGAGCGAGTGAATTAGGAAAAAAAAAAAAACGGACAAGGATGTCAGACCCTAATATTAGCCATTTAAAGCCTGGGATATTACCAGATAGCTTAAGCTCACCCACTGTACAGGAGAGAAAAGAATTATTCAGATTGTAATATATTTTAAGAGAAACTAAAGATATGGATTGTAAATATGAGTGTAATGTAACTGCACAATATGAAATGTCCCTTGTCAAGTTTATTAAATATGGTCTGTCTCTAATAAAGTATCTTATTCCAGCGACTCTGTGCCTGACCAACATGGCTATTTGATTTTGATCTTCAGAGTAGCAAATATATTTTCATCTCAGTTATTTGGGAGTCTGCAGGGCAGTCGGGGAAGGAGAAGATTTTGTCCTGTGGTGACCACACAATAGCAAACAAAGGGCAGTTGCTATAGCAGCTAAGGGGACAGATGGATCCAAGTACGAATCTCACTTTATTAACCTTTACAGTGAAGACTTCTGCTCTTCCAGATGATGTCTTGCAAGCTTTGTCCCATTCCCAAAGAACAGAAGGCCCTAAAAAGGGGCAGTCCTGTGGTTTGGCACTTCGTACTTTTGCTCTCAATCGTTTTGAGCTTCTCAAACGGTCTGCTCTGACATGGTGACACTTAGGATCTCAGGTCTGGAAGGAAAAGGTTCATTATTTGGGGGGGGGAGTGCAGACAGGCTCAGAGGGTACTATCTCTGGAGGTCCAGATCTAGGGATCTTTCACATGAGGGGCACACTCTTAACTGGCTCCAGGTCTAGCTCAGGCTCAGATGTGATCTTATGATCCAGGTATGGGTCCGTATTCAGCATCTCAGTTTCCAGTGCCCTTGGTCCAACTAATCTAATTTGTGCCTTCTGATCCGAGTTTGTGTCTATGTTCCGGCTATTGCTCCTGGTGGGGAGCCAGAGGAACACGTCTGCTTAAAAAATGATGATGATTCCATTTTTTCAAAGGCTATTAATAGCTTGTAGTAAAATACAAGATAAGCCATAATAGAGAAATGGAAACTAAGATGACATGTGAGAAAGATAACTTTTTGATGACAGTTCTAGCTCAGACACAGCTAGTACAGAATCCAGGCTTTCTTCCTTTGTGTGTTGACTTGTACACTAGCTATGTACAGTAGCCATTGGACTCAGTGAGATTTAATTCTAAATATGTATAAGATATGACTGCCTAAGTATTTAATTCTACCAGGATTATTCCCTAAATAAATAGATGTTCCCGCTCTGCAGAGCACAGACCGATGACTGCATGCTTCCGCAGAATTGGCCTTCCAGCTACCCACAGCAGGAGACGCAGCTTTATCTGTAGGGGTTTTCTGAGAGTCTGTGGATGTTTTCACTCTCGCAATACAAGCAAATTGGTCCTGACAGTCACAACAGATGGTTAAGGTGCTAAATGCTTTATAAGACAAGTCAACTGCAAGGACTTTCATTACAGCATAACAGGGCTAGGTGTGTTACTCCCAGGAATTTGTGTCTCTTTAAAATAAACACCAAAACAGCAACCATACTAATTCCGATGCTGCCATTTAAAAAATCGGTTTTAGATATGGTGCTGTTGACAAAAGTGAAAAGTTATTTAATTGAGGCTTGTTTTCAGGAAAAAAATCATGGATTTTTCCTTTCTTCCTAACCAGTAAGCCAAGAACTGAAATTACACTGTAATTCATTTGGGACCCCACTTTTCTTAGTGAATGTTATACAAATGAATGGGAGATGTGCACAAGGGAATAGTTCAACGAAGCCTGCACGTTAACAGCTTCTGGATGGATGGATTGCTCCGTGGAATGGATTCCCTCCCCCCCCTAGACTCACAACTGCAAAATGTTACAAGCTGTGCAGGATAATTTTAGATGTGTCTACTCAGGAGTAAGCCCTAATGAATTCATTGGAACTTATTCACAGATAAAGTTAATTGCACCTCTAATACTGTTAATATTCTAGTCTTAAAAGAAACAGGAAGATTAGCCTGTTTAACCACCAACATTTTTATCTTCTCACGATATAAAATACAATAAAGTACAGAATAGTAGTCTTGTGCTGGCTGTCACAGCACAAAGAAGAGTCCTGTGAAACCACAGTCGAATGATACAATCCTGCACATGTTTATCTGGATACTTGTCTCATGCAGATGAAGTCACTGTTGTTTACTTCTGAATCCAAGCTCTAGGGAAACAATCATTTACATATGAGAATCCTGAAACTAACATTGTGAGGACTAGACGCTTGTGTGTCTATAAATTCAAATGACATTTAATATCTGGTAAAGTTCAAAGCTGTGAATGACATGGGAAGATTAAGAACCTTGGCTACTGAAAATAGATTCACACAGATATCCAATTAGCCATTCCCTTTTTTTAATGAGATAGCTGGGAATGAGATCTCATTAGCGGGTCTTAGAATTCAAATTGTGACCATCATTAAGGGAAAATAAAAAGAATAGATTGGAAAGAGAGTGGATTGGTTTTTTTAAAAAACAGACTTGGGCACATTTCCCAGCATTTCAGCCAAAAAGTTCAGTCAACAGAGGTGAAATCAGATCTCTTTGCTAACATCTGATTTCTTCCGATCTGCAAAACCTGTAAACCCAAAGCTTCTTGAGCTCGGATTTCCTTGGCTGTTGGTTTAATCTTTCACCAGAATAATCTTTTAATCTGGCTGCAAAATCTGACATCACCATTTCAAGAGCAGCATAAAAATGGGTAATAAAATTAAGTTAGCATAATTAGTAAATCTAATTTGTGTTAATAGGATATGGTAACCCTACCAAGACATACCCACCCACTCTCCCTCAAATCCTTAATTTCTCCATTCCATTTCAAATAAGGAATGGCAGTATGGAGTGTATAAGCTGTTTTTTAAAAGTCCTGCCAGAGAAGGAGGGAAACAAAGCTGTACTATTTCATGGCAAGTATGAAATCCAACCATCTAAATATATTTCATAATTCTGCTGCAGCTGTTGAAATTTATCTTCATGAAAGAGTGATGAGGGTATGGCCAGGAGAAGATGGTGTCAGTTCCGGGGATTCATAATTGCTAACTGAGAGTGCAAGACCTTTACTTTCACTGGGGCTTAATATTTATATTTTCAGTTCATTTCTAAACCAGAAACAAAACACAAATGATGTATAAATGCCACCAATTGCACCACTTATATGGGGGCCTGAGTTTTCTCCCAACATTCTTTAACAGCACTTCATCCGTTGTGTGGCCTATAAAATTCACAACTTGACTTACAGTAGGGAATGTCTGGGAATCTACGCAGGTTTACTTCAACCCTATTTAAAAAAAACTCCTCTTTGAAATCTGGCTCAGCGCAAGGAAGCAACAGGAACCAGTAATCAGATCTGCATTTTGCAACCCTACACACTCGCATAGTTCACACTGTGTCTCAGCTGTATAATTTCAGACTACAGTTGTTGGAACATAAAATTAATTGCTACCTAAGAGATTCCTGTACATCAGGGAAAGGGAATGTACGGCCCTCCAGATGTTTCTGTACTATGTCTCCCATAATTCAACAATAGCCAGCATGGAATTTGTAATCTGGTGGTAACCTGGACCACACTTCCTCCACAACAATATTCAGAAAATGACAATTGCAGGGAGACTCCAACAGTAGAATCTTTCTCCCCACCTTATCTTCTCTGCAAGAGTGATTTGGTGTTGAAGAGAAGGAATCTGACTGCTGTCCCTTTTTCTGAATTTCTCTGTTGTCAGGAGTGACAAAAGTATACCCCCTCCCCCAGTGTAGGTGCCGTCTTTCTACCTCTAATACTTTTTTTTTTAAACTCGAAATCCCCTAAAATAGATTAGGACAATTCTGCCATATTTTCCCCAACCTCCTTTAGGTTCAATGGCGTTGCCCCCCCCCGACCAATCTAGAAGTGAGTTCTTGTTACTTCCAGCTTTGAAAAACTCCACTCCACTCAAGCCTAAAGCAGGGATCGGTGCCAGCAAGATACAACTAACACTGCAATCCAAGTTGTCTGCAATATTTAAGGAATATTTACCAGTGCTCCCACCACCACCACCACCCATGAGACCTTGTGGCCATGTGAGGATTCGAATCTAAGTCTCTTGAGCCCTGGTTCCTCGCTCTACTCACTATATCACGCTGGCAGGGACAAAAATGAAGAGGCAAAACCACAGGGGCCTTTTTAGGTAAAAGAAAGGGGGAGATTCACAGTCCAGGAAGCTGCTCAAAATTTGGTTACCTCAGGATGACCAAATTTTGTTTCGGCTAATGGTGCCGGCTGGATAGCTCAGTGGTTTTAGATATAATGGGAGTTCGATTCTCATTGTGCCTTCTCTGAGTAGGGCCAGCCCGTGCAGTCTTGGGCCAACTGCATAATCCCAAAGCATCACCCCCCCAATAAGTATTGATAAATGACTTCTGAATATTCTCTGCCCGGAAAACCATGAAAAGGGGCGCCATTCGTCAGAACTGACTTGACAGCCCACGATTATTACTATTGATAATGATGCAGCTTCTCTTGTTATGTTATCCCCCGCCACCACACAAAAAATGCAAAGTTTTTTTTCCTGATGCTCTACTGACAGGATCCATTAGTCTTCCTGCTCAAGGTGGCTGATGTGGGTTAGGTGGACACACAGTGCTTGGAAAATCCGAGGGTGGCTGGTCTGGTGATTTTCACATTCACTTGGTCTCTTACCTTAGGAGGGAGAAGCTCCTTATCTTGAATACCACAGTTTCTTGTGACCTTCTTGCACAATAAAACCTTTTTTTAAAAAATTTTTATAAAACTATTCTTAAAGAACCTTCGCCCCCCCTTCCCAATTTACTCTGAGAGTGCAAGAAGAGACGGGGCAAAATAGGACCATCAGCAAATCCATGCATTTTAGAGTGAGGCCCCCCCTCATCCGTCAAACATGATCATTCCTGTTTGAGAGGTGAACCCGTCGAGCAGGAACTTAATATCTTTTTTTAAAAAATTTTTATAAAACTATTCTTAAAGAACCTTCGCCCCCCCTTCCCAATTTACTCTGAGAGTGCAAGAAGAGACGGGGCAAAATAGGACCATCAGCAAATCCATGCATTTTAGAGTGAGGCCCCCCCTCATCCGTCAAACATGATCATTCCTGTTTGAGAGGTGAACCCGTCGAGCAGGAACTTAATATTGTGCAATGTGTGTGTG